TCTTAATGGATAACCTAGAAACAAAAGGAACCCAAGCCAGGCCTAATTCCCCTTCTCATCATCATTATCCCATGCTTATATATGGGCCAATATAGTGAATTTTAGCATGGCGCAAATATACATGCCTTTGCATATATGCTGGGCAAACATTTTAATATTTAAGGAATAGAATGATTGGAATAGTTGAAAAATAGATTCATAATACTCTCTCCGTTTCAATTTAATTGTCATTCTAGAGTTTTGCACACAGATTAAAAAAATAATTAATTTTACATATTTTCAAAATAAAAACACAATTACCTATACACCTAACCACTTTTCAACCAATAAAAAAATAGAATAACATTTAAAATCAATAAATTTTGCATTGAAATTATAAAACGACACTTATTTTGAAACGAAAATTTTACTCTAAAATGACATATAATTTGAAACGGAGGGAGTTGACAAACAAATAAACGCTATTGTTTCAAAATAAAAGATTGACAATCTACAAGTAAAAGAGTTACGCGAAAATGACATGGTTTAACAAAAGAAAAAAAATGTAAACGTTAAAACTAATGCCATGTACTGAGTGAGAAACAACAACATACCAGATATCTTGCATGGTGCTTTTGACCCAGAGACTGATCCAATAACCCAATAACTAAAATAAACATAAGGTGCCGATAAATATTGTTTTGCATGGGAAGAATTGCGGGGCAAATCTCCTTTGGCAGAAACATTTTGCTTACATCACAAGCAATGCCAAGCAGCCAAAACCATCTGCCATAGGAGTATTCGCCCAGTAATCCAGCTATACAAATATTTCTAATGTTTCACACCATTGCATCTTGAGTAATTGTAACAAATTATATATATAGTGGATGAAAGTGTTTGTAGTGAAAAGCATATTCTGTGGGAGATCCCATGTTTCATAGAGCATATGTTAGTAGTATAATCCTAAAGACCAAATCCCCTTCATGCGGTCCTCATGCTTCTGATTCGAAATTTAACACCTCTTTTTCCTGATTTACCGGGCTTTTTTGGGGACTGCAAATGCTCTGCTTGTAATTCATGTTTTGTATAGGTATTGTTCTACAGTATATGCCCTTTACATCAAGGTTTGTATATATATTACATAGTTTTGAGTTTTTTTTTTTTCATTTGAACCAATCAAGTGAGAGAGAAAAAGAAACATTTGGTAGAAAAGCATTACATATGGTAAATCTCTATTGGCAGGAGACACTGACGACTCGTATACTTGTGGCATCATTTTTGACTGCCAAAGGATATTTGCCTCGCAATTTTTTCTATCGTTATTCATTTCTCTCCAATTTACTATGGTAAAACCAAATAATGCTTTTAGTCGTTAATTAAGAAATGCGAAAACTAACCCTCTTCGGTTTAAAAAAAAAAAAATCCAAAAAGCAAGGTCAGCTAGTCATTCTTCGACAATACAAGTTAATGTCTGTTGTACTTGGATGTACTTAATGAATATGCTGTCAGTGCCTGGAGCCTATAACTATAACTTTCATGTTTGGCCTTTCAAAGCTAGATTATACATTTTAAAATTAATTAATGCCTGGTAATGTATACAAGGCCGGAGAGGATAGCAATGCTGGCGTCATCCGAGATGTTCTTCCGGTGTGTCCTCTTTATATAATACAAAGAAGAGTGTTTATTATATGCATAAGATTCTTAATTTGAGAAGCATTTCATTGGTGCTGTTTATATAAGACTCGAGAAACATTTCGTTGATTCCATTATTTGCGTCTTTGCAACTTATTATCAACTTAATTATTTTTAAGGATTATTGACTAAACATGTAAAGGTTAAAAAAAATAAGAAAAGAAGCTGACATTAAATTTGAAATGGTGTTACTTTGTATTGGATAACACGGAACTAAACATTTAGGTAGAAGAGAAACTCATTGTCATCTTTATCCCGAAAAATATGGATGTGGCGGGTTATGATTTTCCGCTGGTCCCTCGTTTGAATCAGTCTTCTCTTCTAATATTTTCTCCTATATGGAGTGAATTGGATGTACAAGTTTCGTTGTTATTGCAAGGATCTTCCTCCCATCGAATGTTCTTCTCTGTGTATGGTGCAGTGTGTGTGGTCTTACGGATTACATTAGATGCAATCTTTGAAGAAACTTATGATGTTGTTGTGATACGATTTCATATGGTTCCTTCTTGTGATTTGTATCGTCATTCTTTCCCCTATGTTATTGTTGTTTCTGTTTATTTGGCTGTTAATAGCTCTTTTGTATCCTCCTTTGCTGGAATGTAAACATATTTAAGACTAATGCAAATTTGGTTTGATAAAAATAACATTTAGGGAGAATCAAAGATATTTAACTGCAACGTGTCACTTATCACACACGTGGGTTTTTTAACAGATAACTTTTTGTTACGTTCTTTCTTTCGTCTCAAGAAAAAATTTAACCGCTTATTGTTACTTTCTTTCTTGCTCTCCCGTAATCTTGGAAGCTTGGTATCGAAGAAACAAGAATATTTTCCCGGAAAATCCAAAAGACGATTTTGTTTACCTGGAATCAAATGAGTAGAGCCAAGGACGAGGAGGAGAAGATCATCTGCGCATACACTCAAGCCGAAGAACACTTCCACGAAGGTGATTTCATCAAAGTTATGAAGATAACGGAGGAAACCATCTCCGATCACCCCCACGAACCCATCATGCTATCGCCACCATCTTCTCCAAGGAGATGTGTTCTTTGAATTGGCGAGCAAAGCGGATGGTACACCAACGATTCAGAGTTGGTGTCCCCGAGGGTACACAAAATCTTGAAATATGGTTAGCATCATTGAGAGTATAGTGCGTTCCACAATTAGTAAAGTAGAAATTTACTACACCAAGAGAGAAGCTCCTAATGTATGATAAGATGTTGGGTGAAGCTAAAACTCTTTGTGATAAAGAAGATAACTGGAGGAATGATTATTAGAGGAGAATATATGGGTTGGTGCTTAGAAAGTAAGTGTGAGCAACCTTGTTTTGTGAGTGTGGTAAAAGATATTCTTGAAGGATCTGCTACTCCAAGATTTGGAGAATTAGATGACAAAGAATTCACGGATGGTACATCCGAGCTCTTTACTACTGTACATAATGATGTAGTCAGAAGAAATATGTGGAAGCTCACAAACTCACTTAACAAGAAGGTCTTCTTCTTCTTTATTTAAGGAAGTTCTGATCTTTGACATGACAGTTGACTCAAGCAAATCTTGGGGGACATTTTTTTTGCAGGCCATTTCCATTGCTGCGAAGATTTTTCTGAACGAGTAGACATACAAGAAGCTACACGAATTTGCAAGACTATCAGTCATTGAGAACCGATTAGTGGTTATTCCCTTTGTGAACATAATTTATAAACCATAAAAAGGACTATAAATATATTATATGATAGTTGTTAAAAAAAAATATATTATACGATCATTTATAGTTTGAAATTATTTATCACAGTATTTAGCAAAAAAAATCTATTTATAACAATTTCATTTACTACATTTTCAAATAGTTTTTCCTATAAAACAATTAAGATAACTATTTAGAAACTGATCACAAATGAGATTTTGCACTATTTTTGACGATCTTCCTTCGTGTCTGAAAAACTATCATCCGCTGGTAAATTTTTCTTTTCAGATTTAGAATAAACTGATCTATTAAGTTTCGGATTGATTTTAAGAATTAATCGACTTCTAAATATAGAATTACTTGTTAAAGGTCTTCAGAGATTATGAACATAGATTAATCCTAAACGTTTTATTAAATTGAATCAATGAATTATAATCATTTCTGGTTTCGTAAAATAGTATAACTAAATGAAAAGAATAAAACAAAAAAATAGAAAAGTAATCTGAAATTATCAAATAATTACTTGTTGAACATGAAAATATCGTAGTCTAACGTTTGTCCAAAAAGAAATACGAAACATCTACTCTTTTTTTAAATTCGCTTATTTATTTTAATTATTTTTTTTCTAATATTAATTATATGGGCCTAATATTTATTTTAATTATGTTTTTAAACATCTACTTTTTAAATTCGCTTATTTATTTTAATTATGTTTTTTTCTAATATTAATTATATGGGCCTAATATAATTTGGGTTTAATAGAAATGTAACTAAAATTGATGATTAAAAATGTTTTCTTATATACCTAAAATCAATAAATCCAATGTTTAAAAATAAAAAAATATTCATATTATTTATATAATTAAAAATATATTTTATTTTTATTTTTTTGTAATTATTTGAGTGGGATCATATTTTTGTGGGGTTAAATTTTGTTTTTTAAGGGTGTAAATAAAATAAAAATTAAATCAAATATATTTAAGAAAATAGTCGGGTCAGCAGGTATAATAAAAATCCAGCGCCTTTGGAAAAAAAAAATGCATCACTGAAGTCTGTGAGCCCTCTTCTGACTTCTGTTGATATCTTTCATCTTCATTTCATATTTCCTTTTTCTTGCCAGTCAAGGTAACCTAGTTTTTTTATTATCTTTTTTTGAAACACTATTTTTTTTCTCAGGATGTTAGGATATTCTCACCATTGCCATAATATACGTACGAAGTGAAAGCATTTTATTTGAATTTGTCAACGAGATTCCATCTATATTTTGTCATTACAAGGGATATATAGGATAAATAAGAAAATGATCTACTTATGATTTTCAGTTTGAACACAAACCTCTAAACATAATTAATAATTTCTTCTCAATCCATAATTACTAATTTCTTCTCAATCCATTATTCAAAACCTAACAAAGGGGAGCGCGCGCTAGGGTTCTAGTAAATTTCGAAATTTGCAAAACTGAAATTAACTCACTATTAGATCTACGCTGTTTCTTTTTCTCACACAATACTCTAAAGCTATTTTTTCTTTTCGTTTTCTTTCTCTATAAAGCCCATTCCACCTCAAAGAAACCCACAATTTTCTTAAGAAAATCCAGGCTGAAGATTGTTCAGAGAAAAGTGACTACAAAGACTCAGAGAATACATATGATATTGCTAAAGTTTCTACCTCAAAACAGTTCTCCTCCTAAACGTGTGGATAAGTTTTTAGCTGAAATGATATGTTGTGGGAATTGGGAGCCTGTGGATACATCAAGGGCAGTGGCCCTGATCAAGGCTAGAATTAAGTGTAGGGAAGAGTATATTTATATTCATGGATGGTGTAATGATTTTCCTGTAGCAAATGATGAAGAGCGGAAAGAAATACTTAGACAGTTTGCTGAAGTTTTGAAATCTTTTTGCTCCAATGATACTCTTCCATGTAGCCTTTGGGACTGGTTGATACATTACACAGAAGAGAATGTGAAGCTACCTCAAGTTCATGGGTGCTATCTTGAGAGATGTAGCTTCTTTAAGAATCCTCAGTGCATCTGCTTCTTAGATCTGAAGAACCTCAAACATATACTCGAATTTGTTAAGCAGTTCACTACAGATGTTCGCGCAGGATTAGTTTTAGCAGTAGTTGATCGGTTATGGGGAAAGTCCCTGGTCAATGAAAGAAGTGATCTTGAGCGAGGAGGTTTTAATCTGGTTTTGGATGAGAGATTGTTGTATGTAGGAGAGCATGGTTTTGATGACTTAGGTAAAGTAACTGGAATTTATGAGCATGTGATACCTAAGGGTGATGAGATTGTCTCTTGGGTTCTAGACTGCCAAGAAATGGATACAAATTTCGTGTCTCAAGTGGCAGAAGGTGTACACAACCTTGAGATATGGTTAGCAATTTTGAGAATAGTACGGTCCACGGCTAGGAATTGAGGTTAGCTACTATAGTAAGAGAGAGAGGCTGCAAACATATGCTAAGATGTTGGGTGAGGCTGAAGCTCTTTGTGACAAAGAAGACAATTGGAGGAATGCTAATCAGAGGAGCAGATATGCATTGACGTTTAGAAGAATGTGTGAGAGGCGTTTAACTCAAGATAATGCTACCAAATGTTGTTTTTTAAATGTTGTTAGAGATGTTCTTCAAGGAGTAGAATCTCCAAGATTCGAAGTATTACAAGACCAAGAATTCATGGAGTGTATATCCGAGCTCTCTACCACTGTCCAAAATGATGTTATTAGAAGAAGTATATGTCAGCTAAGAAACTGTCTAACTGAGAAGGTAATATTATTCTTATTTTTCTTTCCATATATGACTCTGACAGCTAATACTAAAACAAAACAAAACTTGGGGGATTTTTTTTTTACAGCTCGTTTTGATTGATACAAATATTTTACTGAATGAGTGGACGTACAAAAAGCTACATGCATTCGCAAAGCTATCATCAGTTGATTATCGCTTAGTGGTCCTTCCGTTGGTGAAGATGTTCTTACAGGTTTGTCGTTTTTTGTAAGATCTTTCACTTGATGGTGTTTTAGTGTATTTATCTATTATATATTAATTTCAACTTATATTATACATGTGTTCTTTTGCAGGATAAACTGATGACCATGATGAAAACACATAAGAGAAAGATTACAATAGCTGATGCAGAAGCTTCTGCTAAGAAGGGACGGAGTACTCAAACGAGGTAAAAAAATACGTAACGACTCCTGTCAATAATTGTTGTTTTGGGTGTGTGTTTTTATTACTTTTTAAAAAAAAAGTGAGTTATGTTTTTGATGCAGGGATGTGAGAGATTTTTTTGAGTAGGTGTTGTTTAGAAGATGGTGGGATGTAGCTTCTTTAAGAATCCTGAACATGAGTCTGAACTCGTCTTTATAACCAGTTAATAAAAATTAATATTCTTTTTGTCATAATGCAAAAAAATAAAAGTATTACAATTTATAAAAAATTGTGATTCCACTTCCTCGTTTACAACTCTAGTGATATACATGAAACGATAATGAAAAATAAGATAAATACACTAAAGTGTTGTAAACATTGATTCCTTACGATACACATGTGAACAAAGCATGTGTACAATCGTGAAATTCAAGCTCCCTTCATCATCGTTTAACCATCTTCAACCAATTCGTCGCCCGTTCTCATTCGTTAGTATCTTTTTTTGTTTTGTTTTTCTCTGTCTTTTCTGATTTCCACGCCGTCTCTTCTGAACTTTGATTTCTTCAACTTCATTTTGCCAATCCCTAATTTCTTCCAATTATTGTTTTTTTCCTTCTAACGGCCTTCATAAATTTAAATTAAAATTACAAATGCAGAAATTAAAATAAGTTACAGAGATGAACAAAGAAAAAAAAAATCAAATGAAAAAAAGTGAAATCAACATATTCTCGTCAGTTAGGGTAAAATGTATATGTAGTCAAAATAAAGCCAAATATCATTCTTCTTTAGAGCATGATTAATCCGGGTTTTTAAGGTGGGGTTCTTTGCGGAAATTAAGAAACTGGTTCTTAACTTTTAGCTAAGAAAGCTAAGAACCGGTTCTTAAATAAGGATTTTAAAAATCGGTTCTTAGTTGTTTTAGTTAAAAATTAAGAAACAATTCCTTAACTTCCGCTGATAACTCCACCATAACAACTCCGGATTAATCATGGTCTTAGATACTTAAGCATACTGTATATAATAGTCTCACATTCATAAACTTTTATTTTCTCTAAAAGATAATTTTTCCGACCAAGAAATCATATCCGATAAAATTAGTCAACCCTTTAACATTGAGATTCGAACTCTTGATTCGAACACTGGTCAAACTTTTCCTCCACTAAACCAAAAGAGCAAGCTTTAGTGTCACTTCATCAACATTCGCATATAGTAAGTAAAGCCTCCGTCCCTCCTTCTATATATATGCACATATTCAAGAGACTATTTTCTATCATACCAACTCTAATTGTTCCCCTTAAAAGATTAAAAAAAAAAATCATCGATAATTCCAACAAAAACCAAAGTCAATGGCTCGTCTAATGATAATCTTCCTCGTTCTAATCCTCATGGCCTTTTCGGCTTATCCGTCTCTGGTCACGTCAAGAAAGCTATTTATTAAGACGAAGAGACATGAAATGTTGTTAACAGCGAGGGAGGAGGAGAAAAGCCGCATGACTCACGTGACCAAATCCAAATTTACTGTTGGTCGGTTTCAGGTATCCACTCCTAGCCCTGGTGCTGGACATTCCGGTGGTGGCCGTTGATTCCCTCTGCTTCTTGTTTTTCATCTACAAATTAAGCTCGTTCTTGTTATGGCATTTCACCAATGCACTCCAAAACTAATGGACCTCAAGTATCTAGTTAGAGAAATCTATTTGTATACGTAGAAATAATATACTATGATGTCCAATGTGGAATAAAAACAGTGTACGTATCAATACCGATTGGGATTTGGGAATACGTGCAACTTTAAATGTCATCAAACATCAAAATTTATTTTAAAGTTCTTTTTATGTACACGTAAACTAATAAAATCATTTGAAAGAATCAGAAGGCGGTTCATTTCAGTGTGATGCTTTCAAAATAATCCATTCTAGGTCTTTGTAAAAAAAAAAGTAATTGCCAACTTTAATCATGCATCAGGCCTTTTATCGAAAAAAAAACTTTAATCATGCATCACTATGCTACGTTTGTATTTTTGTTACGGAGTAAATGTAATCTTAATGACAGTAAAAATAGTTTTTTTCTTGATTAAGTTTTGACTCCTACACGTTCATTTTTTTTGTCAACGACTTACCCATTACCCTCTTCTCAATTATGTGGTGGTTGATCGCTGCTCTAGTTGACTTGACCATACAAAGTCAAATGTATAATGGTGTCCCTCGAGAACATGATTTTTAAAATAAAAAAAATTCTTCTGCTATATCTGAAGTCTGCTGTCTTCTTTCCCATTTTATTAGAAGAAAAGGCCAAATCGTGCTCTGCTCAGTAGCGGCCTTGTATAGAAGCATTAGAAGCATGTGCTTCCGGTCTTTTAAAAATATCTAAATTTTTTGGCCAATTTTTTCAAAATGTTTAATAGCTCAGTTGGTTAATATTGTTGTTGGTACTTTGAGAGGTTGACGGTTCTACTATGATTAGTAACATAATTAACTTTTTAGTACTATTATTTATTTAATTAATAGACCCATATTTTTCTAATGTTTCTGGCCAAAATATTTTCATGATCGGGTCTGGCTCTGCTCGCTTGTCAACAAAAACTGCTATTGTGGTATTTGATGTTCTAATAACCAAAAAATTATGAGTGAAAGTATGATATTATTATGTTGTAATTTTCACCAAATTCAAATTGTAAAAAAAAAATATTTATATAGGATATTTTGATTTGATTTATTGGACTCCCTCGATTTCCTACAACAGCTCTATTGCTAAAAATGTAAGTACGGATGAAACAAAATTGAATGAGATATGAGATATGTAAATGAAACATAAATATATATGAACACAATTCGTTCAGTTACTATTACGCAAAACTGCAAAAGTTATATACAGAGGGGAATGTACGTAGAGACTAGAGAGCAATGACACATGCACCCACTATTTTCTATGTGAACTTCTCTAGTTTTTTCTTTATTGCACCTAATTATAATTATTATTTAATTAATTCCCCTAATAATTATAATTTTTAGTTAATGTTCCCTATATAGTTTATTCTATTTTCGCTCCTAGAAATCTAAACTATGATTTTGGATTAGTAAAAAAAGCCCAACTAACAACCTCACAAAACAAAACAAAAACTCGGCCCAAATCTATTAAAAAAAACAAAGCTGACATGGCACACAGCGATTCGTTATACTACCGTGTCGAGCTTATTTCACTCACATCGCCACGATTCAGCATTTATTCATCCATAAATAAAGAAATAAAAATCTGAAATGGATTTATTACAAGTGTAACAGACCTTCAAAACGACAAAAGCTCTTTCTCCGCCGTGTCTATCGAACGAAAGGTGATCCTTCTTCTCTTCTCTTCTCTTGTCATGAATCAGATCTGTGTTAATTGTTCATCCTTGTTCTTAGATCTGTTTCTGTGCACCAATATTTATCTGTGGATCAAATGCGTGATAGATCTGATTCATTAGCTCTAAGTAGCCATGTAAAGTTTCAATTTTTATTGTTGCTGTAATTTAATTTTTATGGGTCTTCTTTGTTCTGAAGAAAGAAATAGTTTTGAGATTAAAAGGTTGTGAATTTGTATATATTTGATTTGACTACAGAAGCAGATAAGAAACTTGGATTCAGCTATTGATACAATACTACACAATGGGAGGAGGATTTAGAGTTTTACATTTGGTGAGGCCATTCTTGGCCTTTTTGCCAGAGGTCCAGAGTGCTGACCGGAAAGTGCCTTTCAGAGAGAAGGTTATCTACACTGTTATCTCTCTCTTCATCTTCCTTGTTTGCAGTCAGCTTCCTCTATATGGGATTCATTCAACGACGGGTGCGGATCCATTCTACTGGATGCGTGTCATTCTTGCCTCCAACCGTGGGACTGTCATGGAGCTTGGTATTACCCCTATCGTCACGTCTGGGCTGGTCATGCAGCTCTTGGCTGGTTCAAAGATTATTGAGGTTGACAACAATGTCCGTGAGGATCGTGCCCTCTTGTAAGTAGTCTTTGTTGTTGTTCTTGTTTGAGCTGCTTTGTGGAAGCTTTGTTTTTGTTAGTTCTTATTCTGTGTGCTTGGGCTTGTTTTTTTAGGAATGGTGCTCAGAAGCTTCTTGGTATTCTGATTGCTATCGGTGAAGCTGTTGCATATGTTCTTTCTGGAATGTATGGGCCTGTTGGACAGCTTGGTGTTGGTAATGCCATTCTCATCATCCTCCAGCTTTTCTTTGCCGGAATCATTGTTATCTGCCTTGACGAGCTTCTTCAGAAGGGATACGGTCTCGGCTCAGGAATCTCCCTTTTCATTGCCACCAACATCTGGTAAGACAAGTTCTTCCTCTCATTTTATATCCTTACCACAAGATCATTTCTGGATTCTTAGGCTCCAATGATATGCAGTGAGAGCATTATCTGGAAGGCATTTAGCCCAACAACAATCAACACTGGCCGTGGAGCTGAGTTTGAAGGTGCTGTCATTGCATTGTTCCATATGCTGATAACTAAGTCCAACAAGGTTGCAGCTCTCCGCCAAGCATTCTACCGGCAAAACCTTCCAAATGTCACCAACTTGCTTGCCACAGTCTTGATCTTCTTGATTGTCATCTACTTCCAAGGGTTCCGTGTGGTTTTGCCTGTGAGATCAAAGAATGCTCGTGGACAACAGGGTTCTTACCCAATCAAGCTGTTCTACACCTCTAACATGCCCATCATTCTCCAGTCTGCTCTCGTCTCAAACCTTTACTTCATCTCTCAGGTACATACATTCTTTCCCCTTACAGTGAATTGGCTACACAATAACATAATGCTAACGTTGAATATCTCTTGTGGTCAACAGCTTCTCTACAGGAAGTTCAGTGGAAATTTCTTTGTAAACCTTTTGGGACAATGGAAAGAATCTGAGTACAGTGGGCAGTCTATTCCAGTTAGTGGTCTGGCTTACCTCATCACAGCTCCAGCTAGGTAATGCAAACTCTCTTCAAATATTCGTTTTAACCCATCAAATTGTTAAATGCGTCAACCGGTTAGATTAATGTATGTTACTAAATGGTTGCAGCTTCTCGGACATGGCAGCTCACCCTTTCCATGCACTGTTCTACATTGTCTTCATGCTAACTGCGTGTGCTCTTTTCTCAAAGACATGGATTGAAGTCTCCGGATCTTCTGCTAGGGACGTAGCTAAGCAGCTCAAGGTAATTAAATCATAACAACTAGATATTCACATAACCTTGAATGGTGTGTGTTTAGGTATTTGATATGGGAAACTCCATGCGTGACAGGAACAACAAATGGTGATGCCGGGACACAGAGAGTCAAATTTACAGAAGGAGCTGAACAGGTATATCCCAACAGCAGCAGCTTTCGGAGGAGTGTGTATCGGTGCTCTGACTGTTCTTGCTGATTTCATGGGAGCCATTGGGTCCGGGACTGGAATTCTCTTGGCGGTTACAATCATATATCAGTATTTCGAGACCTTTGAGAAGGAGAAAGCAAGTGAACTCGGTTTCTTCGGGTTCTAAGTTAGCGTAAAAGTTGTAAACTTTGCAGAGGTAGAAGAAGCAGAGTTTTCAAAGCAGAGAAGGCACGTTAGCTACTGTGGCAACTTCAAAAGGGTTGAACACAGTTTAAGGAGAGCTAGACTTTTTGCTTGTTTGTTGTTTAAACAAAATTTTCTCTTCTAGTTTTTTTTCTTCTTGTAATACAATTTTATGCTCTTTTCTAATGTATGTTTCTAGTAATTTCACTTGTTACCAAATAATCAATTTACATATTTGAATTCAAAGCAACTTCCTTGTGGCCAATGTGAAAAAAGCATGAATCTACAGCCTTTAACAACTGATGGTGATGCAAATGTGTAGTAACTAATCAGACTTTAAAGATTTATCAACCTGATTAAACATACAGTAGTATATAGATGTGAAGCCAAGAGCACGAATCATAGGCCTCATCAGAATCAAGCACACAGAATCCGACAAAAGGCCTGTATTAAAATGCAAACGACGTCATTTTTGTGTTTCAAAGTGAAACCCTACAACTAAGAGTGCTTTTGCAAGACTGTATATAAACGGCAAGACTTGTCTTAAACCAGTTCACTTGTGTCCTCGACAGAATCTACTTTTATGTGCACTTTGGCCGACACCTTTTCTCAGAAAATATTCTCCTAGTTTTGTTTACTGAGAGTCTTTGTGTTCTTTTGCTACGTTTTGTATACGTTGTTGTTGGTAAATGGAAAGTGATGATATGTAATTGTCGCCCCAGTCTTAATTTGTACTCATTACAATGGATGCAATATGGTGATTGACTTCCGTATCTGATTTCACTAATTCTACAAGCTATTTCTTCTATTTTTTCTTGCATTGGTTTCATAGTGTTTTTTTGGGTGCAGTAGTCTATTAAAAGAAGAGGAATGAGGATAATTATCCAACGTCTATTAAGTCTGAACCATAGTGTTGAATCAATGACATGCACTACCATCTGACCTCTTGTTTTGTTTTCATCGATGACTGTTTAGTTGATGAATGCCTTTGGTATCTGATGTCCAGAGTTATATAATTGTAGTTGGACATTTCGTAATTCAAGGCGTAAACTGATTGCTTCTTTTATAATAAGCTTTCTGTTACTGTACCCCTGTTTATATTGCTTTTCCTTGGTTTTTTAATCTAATAGTGTTATAAAAGATAAAACAGAGGATCCAAAACAATCAAACCTTTGGATCAAAAACAGAGGATCCAAAACAGCCAGACCAATACACCAAAAAGACTATATATGAAATATGATCCTCCCAATATTAAAGGCTCCAAAATCAGCTTCATTTTTAGTTCATAGACCATTCAC